AGGCCTGAATCGTCAGCTTTCCTGCTCCTCTGATGCTGCTTGGCCTGCTGTGTTCATCCAGCTCTACACCTTGTGAGCTGGAGTTCTCCAGTCATGTTAGTGCCTGAGTTTCTGGTTCAACCAGATTCTGTGTAAACTACACAAAGGTCCAATGCATTAACAGAGGGAGACTCTTATCTGATTCTTCATTTAGAAAACTGAATGGACAGAGTTGGCAGTGTGACATTTCAAACCATCATAGAATTGTTGCAGTGATACTCTCAGCTTCCTCTAACATTCTGAGCTGAGAAGATATCAGCCTTTGCCATACCAGATAATCTTTTCTACCACTGAGTGATGCCATCGGGGTAGAAAATGTCCCTGTCACTTCTCAGAAACAAATTCATCAAGTGGTAATCAGTGTTCCTACCTGCATGGTTTATCTTGACAATGTGCTGGCATACAGCGCACTTGGCAAGGCCACTTGAAATAATTAGAAACTATGAATTGAATCGAATCCCTACATTGTGGAAACAGGCCCTTTGGCCCAACAAGTCCACACCGATCCTCAGAGCATCCCACCTAGACCCATCCCCCTAATCTACACATCCCTGAGCACTATGGGCAATTTAGCATGGCCAATCCACTTGACTTGCACATCTTTGGACTGTGGGAGGAAACCGGAGCACCGGGAGGAAAACCGCGCAGACATGAAGAGAACATGCAAACTCCACACAGACAGTTGCCCGAGAGTGGAATTGAGCCCCGGTCCCTGGCGCTGTGAGGCAGCAGTGCTAACCACAACTTTTTACAAATTTGGAATCAACCAATTTAGTAATAAGCCTGACCAAAAGTGAATTTGAAGAAGTGCGGTAACTTTCCTGGGGCGCATAGCAGGGTAAGGCCAAGTCCTGCCAACAATAATAAAAGTAAAAGCTGTGGTGGAATACTTTGTCTCTAAAACTATATGAGCAATTGTGAGGTATTTTGGACATGTGGTTCTGTCGCAGGTTTGTGCCAAACTTTAGCAATATAGTTGCTCCACTGATAAATTTATTACAAAAGAGAGCAAAGGTAATATGGTCAAAGGAGTACTAAGCACGAATTTGAGATGCTGAAAGCAATTTTGATCAACAAACCTGTGTTGGTTGACCCTAATTTCACTTACCCTTCAAGATAGCAATTGTTGCTAGTGATCTTGGTGTAGGTGTAATCCTATTACAAGAACATGAATCAAGAATAGAGAAGCCAGTGGGATACTTTCCCAAAAAGCTAATTTGACATCACAAGAAAAACTCTGCAGGGGAAAGGGAAGCCCTGGGATTGCTATTGCATACTAAACATTTTGAAGTATGTGTACACAGATTTACACAGGCTCATGCTGATTGTAACCTTCAGCTTTTGGAAAAATTCAAGAAGAGAATACCAGAGAACAACCAGTTCCAATATAGTTTGCTATTACAGTCTTATTACTCAAAGATTGTTCACATTGACAATGACATTGTTTCAATTGCAATGCTTTGTCAAGAATACAACTGTTTGAATTATATAAGTTCTATGAAAGTTTAAGATATGAGTATATATGTGACATATAACAAAAGAATGAGAATTTGTCCATGTCTGATTAACTCGTTTGAAACATTTTGCTTTCTCCAAGACTGAAGGCGTCATGAAGCCTTCACATTTAATATTTTGTTGAAGGCCTGAGTTTTGAAGGATTGCGGAAAAATGGATTTATTTCAAGTTCGATGGAGCCAGCTGGATTTTTTTATAAGGGGGTCAGTAAAATGCCACTTTAGATATTGGAACATGTTTATTTAAATGGGACATTTCTTGGAAACAACATGAACATGAACACTTCTGGGAAAACACATGACTGATTTTATGACTAGGAGAGGGAGAAGGCTAGTTTGGGTTGGAGATTGTTTGGCTTTCAGTTGTGGAAAAACCTGCGAAGGAAAATGCTATCCAACTTATGTCTCTGCCTTTCTGACACACTCTTGGTGGGAATTCAATATGAAGCCTGATTGTCTGCTCAACAGCATCAGGAAAACTTTTTCATATTGCATTTCCTAAGCAAGTTGCATTTAACAAGACCCTAAAGACAAATGCTCATTTTCTGCATCTTTGATTAATTGGTTTTGTTTGATAATAAATCAAAAATGTTGTGATTAGTAAAGAAATTTGGTTGATGGATCTTTTTATTCTAAGTCTAAATTAGAAAAAGCATACAATTGGCCATGTCAAGAATTGAGTAAAACAACTAAATTTACCTTGTGTCCTGTGTAGTTCTGGGATTAGGAGACAGAACATGTCTCTTATCTTGGTTGTAGCAATGATATAAATTCTTGGTTCATGCCATATTGTGAAACTAAAGCCAGAGTCACACTAAAAATTAAGCAAGTTCGTCCATGTTGACTTCACTGCAAAGTAGTTCATGTTGAACATTTCTCAAAAGGAGAAACAAACTGTTTTACTCTTTCCTTTGTGAGTACAATGATAGAATAATGTGCATGCAATTCACTTTTTTAAAGCCAAGCAGTGTAAATATACTTCTGGAAGTAAAACTTCTCAGCAAAAGTCTACTTTATGCTAAACATCTGAAACATGGGTTTTGCTCTGTTTTTTTTTACAGTAGCAGCTGGAGTCATTTTCCTCCCAGCATGTAGATTGCATCAGAATTAACTTTAAGAAAATGCAAACAGGGCTTTAATTTCTTGAATTCAGTGAATTAAGACACAATACAGACTGAGCTAATAAAAGAGTAACATTGAGAGAAAGCACCAACAGATTGTTCAACTTTACATAATGTTGAGTTAAGGATTCTTATTACAAGGAAAATAAATAATTACCACAAAGACCATAGAAAAGGGGCAAAAATCAATTTGTTTTTGTTCCTCATTGAAAGCCATCAATGACCATTTTGTGCAATACTCCCAGCAATAAGCCAAACGTAGGAGGCAAACATTGAACCTCAAGCCAGACCTGAAATTGATTATCTTAATGGCATGGGTGATCAGGTTAATCGTGAAAGAATAAATTTCAAAAAGAAAATTCCCTCAAAACCCTAATAACATTTCTAAAAATTATACTGTGTCTTCCAAGTACAAAAATATGCCAATGTATTTCACTGAAGAAACTGCATGCCGAGACAAAGGAGGAGATGTTAGGAGGTGATCAACAGCTTGGTCAAAGAGTCGGAATTCAAGATTGGCTCCTACAGAAGCAAAGGGAAATTGAAAGGGAGAGGAATCTTGGAAGATAATTCCAGAGAACAGGCCTTGATGGCTGACATTGGTTGGGCTGAACAGAGACCATGATGCAGAGTTCAATTCCAGGTGTGATTCAAGAACAGACGATCCATTTTGTTCTCCACAATACATAATTATCACAGTTAACCACTATAGCTTTCAATCCCGTGCCAATCATATTCTGGTCCAGTACTTGTTAAACGTTATTTAGATCTATATTACCTGTTATTTTATCGGACATTTAAAATCAATGAAAACATAAATGTGAAAAATTTCAAAAAAATAGTGAGTACATTGCAGAGAGCAAGAAAAAGCCAGCGAGCCAATAGATATTGTATATTAATATTCAACTGAAACTCCTATTAGCACAAGTAGTCAGTACAGACAGTGAGACATACGGTACTATATGAATTACACTGAACCGTGCAAATGTTAATCGGCAAGTTGCAGTGAGCTAACCATTAAGAAAGTGCACGCAGCAAAATTCATGGTAATCGCATTTATAGCCGCCAGCCTGACACACAAACTGCTGCAGACCAGACGGTATCTGATCTTTCCAGAGCTCACAAGATGCTAATTAAGATGCAGAATGTAGCAGGACTTGGCTTTTTGGCTGATCAGATCTAGTGTAATAGTGTTCCAGTGAATTATTCTTATTTCACGTGTCATTAAAATTCATAACTCTAAGTCTTACCTCCCATCTCTGTCCCAGTCATATACCTCCACCTTGATCGTTCTGTAAAGAAAGAAGAAAAATTAATTAATACGCTTTGCCAAACTAGAGATGAGTTAATTATTTAAGATGATCACCTGTTACAGTTAACATTCTCTGTAGAATTCCAAAGAAAGACACAGCAATTAAAATTTCTGTACGTTACATGAATCAGACTTTGAAGCATTGTTGGGACCTAATTATGAAAGAAGTTTAATGCTCTGATATGTGTTAACCCATTTGTGGACTTCAGGCAAGTAACTGCTTACTTATATAGTCAGAAAGCATCAAAACAGATCCTGACAAAGTCATCTGATGAAGGGGTAGTGTTTCAAAATCTTGTCATTTCAAATAAACCTGTTGGACTATAACCTAATGTCATGCCCACCCCAGTCCAACACCAGAAACTTCACATCATTTTTACATAGAGGCATAGAGTATAACAACCAGAAAATTAAATCTACATAAAATACTAGGTTGGATCCAACCAAAGTAGTATGTAAATTCTGCAGAATTTGGAAAATGTATGGAAAAAATAGTGGAATATTTCCAGAAATGAGGGATGACAGATACGTAGATAGATGGGTGAAGTGAGGTTTCTGTTTCTTACAGCAATGAAGGTTAGGAATGGATTTGGTAGAAGAATTTAAAATCTGGAATAGTTTAGATAGAGTGAAAAAGTACTTGATTGGTTGATAACCTAAATTTAAAAGGTGATTGGCCACACAGCCAGAGAGGACATGACGAAAACATTTTGATGTAATAATTAGTGTTTCGATTGCACTGCTTGATGGTAACAGAATCAACAGAAGCTGAGGTTGTTCCAATTGGCCACTGTAACTTCAGTGTGGAAGAAGGGGAGAAATTCTGATTTACACCATTTGTTTCTGCCAATCTTTTGCCAAAATAGAGGAGCACAGAGAAATTTTCTGAGAAGACGATGTGTTCACATGACTGCTTCTTGTGTTGCTATGCAGAATTTGTACTATTTCCTCTGAGGGACAATAGTGGCAAATATTGTTAGCAGCAGGAAAATCTTCATTGACATAACTGAAGAATACACATAAATGTTGCACAGGTAGGGGCATACAGTGCTGTCTGACACTAGGGAATCAAAGTAATTCATTGCTATGTGAACTAATTTCTCGTTTTATATTGGTTAGAAGAGGAAGAAGAAAATTAAAACAAAAACATGCTGAGACAATAAATTGGAATATGAAAAATGTGCTGAAAGCATAGCTGGATTGTTTATACTTTCTTCTGATATGCAAATTGTATTATTATGTTTAATTGAGGAATTTATTGCACTAAAACTACTCCTTATGATTCATTACTGAATTGACGCAGTGAGGTGCTCATTTACAAATGTTTACTATGCCCAGCTAAAATTTTCCTTTTTTTTTGCAGAAAGCGACATTTCATCACACCTATTCTCTCCCATATTGATGTTTTATCTCGTAGTAAGATTCAACTTTATGGTGATACCAAACAGGCAGCCAAGGAATAGGGTGCACATTATACACCTTGTCTTAGTTTCCTTTTCAGGAAAATTGGACAGTCTAACAGATAGCTAATATTCTATCACATTTCTTTTGTCCTTATTGAAGTGGGCTTTACCCTTAAGAATTTGAAATGGAGACATTAAGCATCTGTATGCCTACAGTCCTTTTTGTAATGACATAGTTCCAGTAGTTTTGCAGCATCAATATGTTGAAAAGTTGATGATGTACAGACTGCATAAACCGCAAAACAAACACATTCATTATACCCTGCCAGTCTATGAGAAGGTTAGGAATGCACAGGAGAAGCAGATCCCAGTTGGGAGCGAAATGTAATGGGAGCACAGCAACTATGATCCTTATGTGAACGTAAGTGGACAAAATTAATTTAATAAAAATATATATCTCGCTTCAAAAATATGATAAGTTAGGATTGAGTTTCTAATTTGAGTATAATTAACAACCTGGCTGCAAAAATCTTTCAAAGTTGCACTTAATTTCAGAAACATTTTTATGCTCAAATTTCTGCTGATACTTATTTGTACATCAACAAATATAAAACTTTTCATGAGCCAGGACAGTCAGGTTACGTGTTAGAAAATAATTCTTTACCAAATCATTAAGAATTATTCCTTAATACATTGATAAAGTGTTAATCTCGTTCATATGTAAACAAGATTATCACACAAAAAAATTATTTCAGTCACCATTAATCCACCAACCTGTGATTGAACAGATTTTACATAACTATACAGAACAGTTTACTAGGATCATCCATGTGCACAAATTAGTTTTAGTCTTATTAAAATCATATTTTTAAAAGATTTTTTTAAAACATGTGCCAATCACCATCCTTGCACCTAAAGTTAATTATAATTTTAAAAGCCTCTTGAAAGCCCATAATTAGGGCAATAAGTGAAAACTTGCCATGGCATCTAATTCAGTTTGGGTGCATGATCATTTTTTTTGGGTGGGGCTGAATTTCAAACAAAAGAGAAAAAGTCTTTTTTTTCTACAAATGTAGCTTTGGCCATCTCTTACACCTTTAAGACTTAAGGTGAACTGAACTGAAAAGAAAGCACAAAACCCCACATTTTTAACTAAAAGTTCTGATTCCTTCAGCCTTGTGTGCATCTTCTCTTTGGCTGCTGTGATAAAATCACCTCTGCCTGATGTTCTAGAATTCCAATAAGCCCTACCTTACTTTAAAACACAAAGCTTGATCAACTTCCTCATTTCTTTCCTCTTTGGAATCTGTGGTTTTTTTTATTGCTTTGTTATATTTCTATGAAGCACTATAACATGTTATATGGCACTGAAGGCTCTACGGAAACGTTGTTTCAAATGGACCAAATGAGTTGACTTTCAATCTCTTGCATTGATATATTTGCTTCAGATGGAGTGCAACAAAAGTTGACAAGAGTGTTCGAGACTTTAAAGTTAAGTAACAAGATACAAGATGCTGAATCTTTGGGCACAAGTGGACAACAATCAGGTCAGGAAGCTAGGATAATTCATGAGCCAGCTCGTAGAAATTAGATGAAGGCATGTTCTGCAAAGGGGGTTCATACAAGACATTATGCAGGATCAATCTGATGGGTTGCACACTGATGTTAGTGGTGTATTGACAGGTCGAACAGACAGCCTGCTGTCATCATAAAGAACCATGGAAAAGTCTGGCCTCTGCATGGCACAGGGCATCATGCACAGGTTGAAGCTTATCTTTTCAAGTGTGCAAGTGGTCACCAATTCCACGTCAGCACTTATGAAGAGCCCTTGTTGCAATGAACAGTTGCTACGGTCTCAGCTTCTATTGCAGAACAGGCATATGCCATCCAAAATCTCAGTGCTGCAGTGCAAGTTTAGACAAATATCAGTGAGATAGACATTATGATATCCATCCATGTTGCCATGCAGATTCAGACTGTTGCCATCATGGCAGGGGATTTCAGTGGCCTAAAAAGCATGCAGGGACTTGAGGTAGTCCAACAATCTACCCTCCAACAGATGGTTAGGATGTGAGGAGCATTCTCTGTGAGAATGGTAGTGAGACCAGTGGGTGGTGGATGAGGGAACAGTGTGAGAATGAGATAAACACTCCTACCACAGAACAGTCAGGTTGTTGATTGTAGAGAAATGAATAAAGACCTCATCCACATTGAACACATCATTAGAGAGATTTCAATGAGGAAACAGAGATGTAAATCAGACACAGATTGTAACCTCGAGTGTAGGCAAATTATGTCTGGGACAGATGGAAAACCCCAGTGTAGAGGAGAAGCTATTTCATCCTTAGTCAATAAATCCAGTCAAATCCATTCACTGGCTCTTCTAAACCATCCCTGCATCTTTTTTTTCTCCACAGTTTTTCAAACAGAGCAGCATAAATATCATTGAATATGCTTCCTCACCCATCAGCCAGTCCATTCCAAAAGCTCAAAAATGAACTGTATTCCCCCGGCTGTCAACTCCATGAAAAGTAAGTAACTTTTTACCAGCAATGTTGCAGGCATGACGGTAGCTTTGCAAAGGAGCACTAGAACAAATGTACCGAAAGAGATGGGCACTAAGAGAATAGACAAAGGCGAGAGTTTGTATATCGATCTTGATGTAATGGTCACCTTATTGCTTTGCTTATATTGCATGATCTTGGCCAAGGGCCCATAGTGATGAGATATCCTAGATAGATCAATAGATAGATAGAAAGAGAGAGGTGAAGGGAAGTTCTCCTTGGGAAGGAATCTTTAAACAGTCACTCATGGGTCTTGGATATATTCTCTTTGCATCCTCTTCTTCTTCTCAAATGGCTTTTAGAATGCAGCCTCAAGGGAATACGGTTGTCCAGGGCATGGCAGATCACCATAAAATCTGAGACAGCACCAGTACGACCTGATGGTCTCCCCCTGAGGTGTGCAGGCACATTGATAGACTGCTGCATGATGTTGTTTACAACTCCTTGGCTTTTACTGGGTACATGACGTCTTCACATGGTTGGGAGGTCACCAATGTCGTGCCCATTGTCTTCAAAAAGCTATCCAGGCGTGAAGATGGTATGAATGACAGACTTCCTAAAAATAAATGCATTTTGGCTGCATCCAGGATAGCTGGCCTTCACTGATATTACATTTTGTACATGGCTGCATATCAACTGCAGTTGATGGAGTGGAAAGCCAGTCCCATTCCTGCATTTTTTCTGCTGCCGTGTGGGGTCCAGAGTGCCACTTTACATGCAGTTGACAGGTCCCTGCACCAGGAAACAGGCTTTCCAGGCAATGCCATGTGTTTGTGCCTTCTCTTTCTCTCCTCACTTAGAAGAGAGAAAAAAAAAGAAAAGCTTGCATTTATATAGCAACTTTCATGAACACCAGTATCTCAAAGAGCTTGATGACAATGAAATTCATTTATAGTTTAGCCAAGAAGCATGGTGAACTGGACTCTCCTTACACCAAGCATGTCAGCTTCCAGATTTCTGATGTGAAATAGACCCCGTATACAAGCCCCTGTTAAAAACCAGAACCGGAAGTG